AGTCCGGACTAAGCGAGATTTCAAAATTCAAAGAGAAGCTGAGGTTGAATGTAAAAGAAAAAAAACAATTAACTTAAATAGTTTCTATACTAATTGCGATAAACACTTTACCGGAAATATTAGTTAATAATAATGTTCTATATTTAGACTCTCCTTGAAGAAAATAGATTTATCTTTCGAACTAATCAAACAACAAACACACCTACGTTGAGTATAAGCTACAAATAAGTTACGTTATCGAAATAAATACACAACTATTATGTCTATAACACTTTACTTTTTGAACATTCCTGATCTATTATAACTCTACTCAACAGAAGGATTTTATAAATTTTCAAATGTTATAAAATTTCAGTTTAAATCAGTATATCTATTTGTAATGAATTTAATCAATTAAATTGAGTACTTTGATTAGAAATGTTGAAACTCACTGTTTATATTATAATTATCCTCTTCGTTCCTTCGAGTCCTTTTCGTGCCCATGCATGAGTATAAAACCCAAAAAAGTATGCATATGAAGGCGACGACGCTGGCAATATAACCGAACATCATTGTTCGAGTTGAGGGATTGAACTGAATGATAATCGTTTGCAAATTAATCGATAAATTAACGTCATAGAATTGTTCCATTATCTACATATTAAATTCTAAATTCCAATCTGATTCCAACTATTCAATTTTTAGATTTTCATTCACATTTTTATTATAATTCTATAAGTAAAGTTTTGGAAAAGAGGCAATAATTCGTAAAACGAATCTTATATAAAAAAAAACAACTAGAGTTCTGTACTGTCTTGAAATTCATTATATATCATTATATAGCAGATATTGCAACAACAAATAGTGTAAAAATAACAACGTTTGTTGATTAAATTTAATACTCATGTATATTCATCATGTATATTACAACATTTCACCGTAGTTTGGTTTGAAAATAACATAAATTTTAAATGAGAAAAACAAATTTCTAAAAACTTTGTACACAATATTATTTTTTTTAAACATAAATGATTACTTCAAGTCTCATAATAATAATAATAAAAAAAATCTTTATTAGTCACCAATTGTAACCAAAGGCTATCGACCTAAGTCTTTCCGCCCAGCTCAAGTCTCATTTTTGTATCGATTAGTATGGTTACAAACAGTCTGGTATATTGGAAAATCTAATTGGATCTAATATATATAAAAAAAACATTAACTTAAATAATTTCCATTATAATTGCGGTTCTATATTTAGATTCTCCTTGAAGAAAATAGATGTATCTTTCAAATTAATCAAACAACAAACGTTGAGTATATTGAGTATAAGTTACGTTATTCTAAGAAATATACAACTATTATGTCAATGGAGTCTATAATAATTTACTTTTTGAACATTCCTGAACTATTATAACTCTACTCATCAGAAGGATTTTCGAAATTTTCAAACAATTTACACAGATGAATCTATTTTCGGATACAAATGTCGTTGTATTTAACAAATGTCAAAATATTAAATTGATCAACGCCATCTATTTTCAGATTGATTTTTTTTCGAAAATTACTCCGAAATGTGTCATTTTTTGTTAGTTTCAAGGACAAGTGACAAAATGAAAATTCATTGAGCAATTATTAAGCTTCTAATTTTTAAAATTCATATTTTGTTTGTAATAATATTGGCATATTTTGATGTACTATCAATTGACAGTTGCTGTCAAACTAGTTTCGATTATAGATTTAAACGTCTAATTTAATATTACAAAAGTATTATAGTTAATCAACAGATAATATAATTAGATATAATTTATATTGAAAGAATGTGTACTATAATTATGTAAGTGAAAGCTAGGAACTGTGATATAGACTTACTTCTTGAAGATTCCTGAACTATTATAACTTTACTCATCGAAAGGATTTTCGAAATTTTCAAACAATTTACACAGATGAATCTATTTTTGGATACAAATGTCGTTGTATTTAACAAATGTCAAAATATTAAATTGATCAACGCCATCTATTTTCAGATTGAAATTTTTTCGAAAATTACTCCGAAATGTGTCATTTTTTGTTAATTTCAAGGACAAGTGACAAAATGAAAATCCATTGTGCGATTATTAAGCTTCTAATTTTTAAAATTCATATTTTCACTTATTTCTTTAGTTTCTACTGTATCGTATTTTCTCTAAATGTAATAATATTGGCATATTTTGACGTACTATCAATTGACAGTTGCTGTCAAACTAGTTTCGATTATATTTTTAAACGTTTAATTTAATATTACAAAAGTATTATAGTTAATCAACAGATAATATAATTAGAAATAATTTATATTGAAAGAATGTGTACTATAATTATGTAAGTGAAAGCTAGGAACTGTGATATAGATTTACTTCTTGAAGATTCCTGAACTATTATAACTTTACTCATCGAAAGGATTTTCGAAATTTTCAAACAATTTACAGAGATGAATCTATTTTAGGATATAAATGTCGTTGTATTTAACAAATGTCAAAATATTAAATTGATCAACGCCATCTATTTTCAGATTGAAATTTTTTCGAAAATTACTCCGAAATGTGTCTTTTTTTTTGTTAATTTCAAGAACAAGTGACAAAATGAAAATCCATTGTGCGATTATTAAGCTTCTAATTTTTAAAATTCATATTTTGTTTCTATTGTATCGTATTTTCTCTAAATGTAATAATATTGGCATATTTTGACGTACTATCAATTGACAGTTGCTGTCAAAGTAC